CTGACGTGTTAGCCAAATGCAGGGACATATGAAAAAGCTCTCCTGGCTTTTTGTGCCCGTGTCCTCTTTTCCTGAGGGTTTGCGCTTCATTTTCAGGGACAGTCAATGTTTTTTGCCATGACCTTGCAGAGAACATGCTGGGCCGTAGCTGGACTAACAACACCAGGGCGCTTTGCCAGGTTGGTGTTCCCACCCTCGTTTGGACAAAGTTTGTTGTGTTTTAAAGGACAAACAGACTTGTCCTCATTTGGTCTTCCTCTGGCCTGTCCCTGTTCCCTGCTCCAGCCCCTCAGCCGGGGGACGTGGCCTGGCCTGGTCACTGATGGCCACACTTGGTCCCACAGCTGTGTTTGCTGGTGGAGCTCATTCCTGCTGCTCACACACTCCGTTCCTTGCTCCCTCCAAATATTTTAACTTTCCCGTATGGAATGGCCAGTGGAGAGTGGCGGTTCTGGTCTGAGGGGACATCCTGGGCCCCAGGCAGCTCCTCAGAGGGATGGGAACAGCCAAGCTGTGCTGCAGAGCCATTCCCGCTGGATCGATAGCTGGCAGCATGCCAGGGATGATGCGCTGTGCTCTGGTGGCAGTGGGGCAGGGACACAGGGCAGGCTCTGGGGCTGGGTGAGTGCTGGGCAGCACTGTGTGTCCTGTGTGCACCCAGGAAGGTGCCACTGGCCACGTGGAGCACTCTGCCCACCATCTCCAAACTGTCCTGTCTGCTGCTCCCTGGGACACAGGCACAGCTGGCTGTGGCAGGGCTCTGCAGGGAGTGAGCCCAGGTCTCTCTGGGACCTGGTTCTGCACCTGGAAAATGAGGCTGGCCTTGCTGTGTCCGTGTCGTGGCACCAGGAGGATGGAATTCCTGGTCTGACACACAGACACCCTGTCCCTTCCCTGCCAGCCAGGCAGGCCCCCTTGGCACAGCACTGAGCTCCCCTCCACAGAGGGGACACTGCTTTCCTGCTGGAGTCCAGAGAGCTGGTGTGTGCGGGAGGAAATGGCTGAAGCAAAGGCAAAATCTCCTGCTGAGTTATGAATAGTGAATTTAGTCAAGGCATTTCAGCAGGTTCCCAGTCCTGTGGACTCCAAAAATGCCCGGGGGAGTGAGGTTTGGGAGGCTGCTGTGCAGCCCAGCCCTGCTTTATGGCACGGCAGGTATTTATTTGCCAGCCATTCCCTGCTCCTCACCTGCCACATAAAGCTGTTTCTGTCCTTGGCTAGAAAGTTTTCCACTGGGTGTGCTTGGAATTGCCCAATAATGCTGATAGTTTGAAATTATTTCTGGGGGGAGGTGTTGAAAAAAATCTATTGCTTTACAGAGGGAGTTTGGAGGGGAAAGGAACGTTCAGGCACACATTCCTTCCCAGCTGAGTAAAAGGAAAATAGGGTAAACCTTCTTCCCAGGTAGCAGGATTCACTGGACTGGGAGTCCAAGCAGCTTCCATTCAAAGCAGGATGAGATGCCAGCAGGCAGGAGTTTGATCAGGCCTCAGATTATTCTGAATATCAGTGTACAAAGTGATAGTGCTGCAAAGCTGAGTCTGGCAAGTTAATTGTGGAGTAGTTTGTGTTGGAAGGGACCTGAAAAGGCCACCTAATCCAACCCCCCAGGAAATAGTTGTCCTGCACGTGACCGTGGGATCACACAATAGTTAAGGTTGGAAAAGCCCTCTGAGCCCATCAGGTCCAACCATCCCCCAGCACTGCCAAGGCCACCACTGACCATGTCCCCAAGTGCCACATCCACAGGGCTTTGAAATCCCTCCAGGAGTGGGGACTCCCCCCCTGCCCTGGGCAGCTGTGCCAGGGCTGGACAGCCCTTTTCAGGGAAGAAATATTCCCCAGTATCCAACCTAAACGTCCCCTGGCACAACTTGAGGCCCTTTCCTCTCCTCCTGTCCCTGTTCCCTGGGAGCAGAGCCTCTTCACCCCCCAGCTCTCCCCTCCTGTCAGGGAGTTGCAGGGAGCAAGAAAGTCCCTTCTGGCCTTCACCAACCCCAGCTCATGAACTTGGATATAAGGAAGTATTTTTACAGTAAGGGTGGTGAGGCCCTGAGGTTGCCCAGGAGGAGTTCCAGGATGTGTGAGCCCCCAAATCACAGTGGGGTTTTTTTAATCTCCCGGTAAAATACAGGAGAGTGAATGTGCCACCAGTGTGTCACAGAACCACCCGTTTCACCCCTGAAGCACCGGCATTATCAGCACCTTTAGATAAGATTTGATAAAATGGGGCTGCTGCCCCGTGTGGTTCTGTTTGCACCATTTCTCCAGAGCTGTTCACTCAAAACCTGCTGTTTTCCTCTCCCCAGGGAGTCAATCTGACAGCTGCCAAGGAGCGGGGGCAGCTGGTCTTCCTGGAAGGCCTCAAGTCCTGCCTTGACCTGGTGTTTGGGGAGGAGGAGGAGCAGCCAGGGCAGCCCAGTCCTCTGCGGTTCCTGAGGTGAGCTGAGCCCAGCACAGAGCGGTGCTGCCTCCACAGCACCCAGAGCACCACCGGGTGAAGGGGGACACCAGCACCGTCCACACCCCTGTGAGAGTCCTGGCCTGTCCCTCCCTGCTGCCAGAGACGGAGCCTGTTCCCCTCGCCAGCATTTTGGGGGAATTTCTGCCCCATCCACACTGCAGCATGTCACAAGTCTAGAAAAACATTTGTTTTAACACTCAGCGGGTTTGTGGCAAACGAAACTCTGGCTAAGTTGTTTTAATCCTTTTCTTTCATTATTTTGAGTTTTGATCTTATCCGAGGGGACGGTGCTGCTTTATCCGTGCTGGCTTTTGGGTTTATTCCCACTTCACTTTCTCCATGCCCCACGGTAAGCTCAGCAAAAGCAAACCACTTCCCTGGAAGTGTCCCAGGCCAGGCTGGACGGGGCTTGGAGCAGCCTGCTCTAGTGGAAGGTGTCCCTGCCCATGGCAGGGATGGACCTGGATGGGCTTTAAGGTCCCTTCCCATCCAAACCGTTCCATGATCCCTGGAGCCGGGCTGGAGGGTTTCACCACACCCAGGGGTAAAGGAGCAGTGACTGAAGGCAGTGCAGGGCCTGGTGACTGTCACAGCAGTGGGGACAGCAGGGAGGGGACAGGCTGGGTCCCTGTGCTGGGTCAGTGGGTGGGCAGGCGATGCCAGGCCCTGACAGCTCCTTCATCTCTTCCAGCGAGAGCAGCTCTGACCTCCGAGCCCTGTTTGACTTCGTCCACGCATCCCTGAGTGCCCCGGACAGCGGTGCCTGGAAGGGCCCTGTGCTGCTGGTGGATGACCTGAGTGTCCTGCTGAGCCTGGGGGCCACGCCCGTGGCCGTGCTGGACTTCATCCACTACTGCCGTGCGTGCCTGTGCTCCCAGCTGCAGGTACTGCTCCCGTGTGCCTGCGGGCTGAGCCTCCAGGGCAAAGCCTGCCTTTGTTTGCTCTTTCCTCCTGACCAAGGGGAGGCTTTGGAAGGCTTTGGCTGTCCAACAAATTCAGACCGGTGCTCTGGGGTCAGTTTTCAGGGGTTGTGTGAGTCCCTGGAGTACCTGTACAGCTGGATTCCTGCTCTAGAGCCACTCTCAGGAGTCCCTGAGTGCCTGTGCAGGCTACTGCGCAGCTGGATCCCCAGGAGGTGCTGCCCGGAGGAGGGTTCTCGGTGTCCCTGACATGGGAGCAGGGATTCGAGGTGTAAAATAGTGTTTCTTGGAGTTCCTGGCTCTCCAGAAATCCCAACTCACACCCGTGGTGGGGGAAGCAGGGGAGGAAATGGGTTGTGTGAGGGGTTGGTGACTCTCACAGGGGACAGAAACAAGGGTCCCCTTGAAGGGCACCCCAGTCCCTGCTCCCGCCTCCAGTGGGAGCTCCAGTGTGTGCGTGTTGCTCCAGCTGGTTTCCAGGGGGGTGTGATGATGTACAGAGTGATGTGTACAGCCCAGGGATGTGCTGACTCCTGGGAGCACCACAGCCAGAACTGGTTCCAGTCACCTCCGAACTGTGCCACCCGCACTGCAGTGTCCCCTCCTGGGCACTTCTGTGTGGGGAGGGGGGAAGAAGGGGACGGTGTCGGGTGGGATCATCCTGCCCTTCACACGGCGCGGGGTGTTGGGCCGAACGTGCTGACAGGGTTAGATGTTCTGCTTGTGGGGAATATTTACCTCCAAAGCAGCTAAAATAGATGATAAACCATGCTAACACTTTTCTATTTCTGTCTGAGGTGTTCTGAAGCTTTCAAGTACATTTTAACTGACTGAGAATTCCGTGTTATTTTAAGTCCTTGGTGACTTGCATCGGCTGAGCAGAGACTCAGGGGATGGATTTTAATAGAGTGGGTGTGCTGGGGAGCTCTTTGCTCCTTGTCAGAGCTGTGATTGCGTGAGTGAGTGTTGCTGCAGCCCTTTGGCCACCTCTTTATTTACCTGCTCTGAATTCAGTCAGTGCCATCTGCCCAGCCTGACAGACTGGTTTAACCAGACTCTGTCTCTCGTAACAGAGGCTCGAGGTATTTTTAGGCTGCACATTACATGTGTGTGTGTGTGTGTGTGTGTGTGTGTGTGTGTGTGTGTGCACAGTGCACACACAGCAAGCTCTGCCAGAGTTTAGAGGTTGTGCAATCACAGAATGGTTTGAGTTGGAAGGGACCTACAGCCCATCCAGTGCCACCCCCTGCCATGGGCAGGGACACCTTCCACTAGCCCAGGTTGCTCCAACCTGGCCTTGGACACTTCCAGGGATCCAGGGGCAGCCACAGCTTCTCTGGGCAACCTGTGCCAGGGCCTGCCCACCCTCCCAGGGAAGAATCCTTCCCAGTATCCCATCTCTCCCTCCCCTCTGGCAGTGGGAAGCCATTCCCTGTGTCCTGTCCCTCCATGCCTTGTCCCCAGTCCCTCTCCAGCTCTCCTGGAGCCCCTTTAGGCCCTGCCAGGGGCTCTCAGGTCTCCCTGGATCCTTCTCTTCTCCAGTGAACCCCCCCAGCTGTCCCAGCCTGGCTCCAGAGCAGAGGGATCCAGCCCTGGGAGCAGCTCCGGGGCCTCCTCTGGACTCTCTGCAGCAACTCCACGTCCTCCTGCTGCTGTTCCCAGGGCTGGGGCAGCTCTGAGTGGGGCAGAGGGGCAGAATCCCCCCTGCCCTGCTGTGGGGTCAGCCCAGGGCACATGGCCAGGGCATGTCCAGCCTGTCCCAGTGGAGTTCAGCTCAGCCCATACTGGGGATGCCCGAGCAGCTCAGCGAGCACCTCTGTGTGAACTCCTGTGTCCATCTCCCCTTCCTTCCCTGAGGGGTGAGGACCCTGCGGTGGCTCATCCCTGCCTGCTGCTCCCGTTCCAGGGGAATCTTGTGGTGCTGGTTCACAGCAGCGAGGATTCGGAAGACGAGGAGAATGAACTGGTTGTGAACTCCCTGTGCCATCACAGCGACCTGATCCTGTGGGCAGAAGGACTGGCCACCGGCTTCTGCAAGGATGTGCACGGGCAGGTGAGGCACGGGAGGGCACCAGAGGTGGCACTGTCCCTGTCACCTGCAGCACTGCCTGTGGGAGACAGCCCAGGACAGCCTGGGGAAGGACTAATCCTGCGAGCACCGGGATCTGCTGGAACACCCGGGTTCTTAAGGCTGTGACTCCACTTCTGTGGGCATATTTAGAGACATCCTGCCCCACCTGGGGACTCCCAGCCTCTGGAAGCTTTCCAGGGTTTATACAGCAGCTGCAGCACTGGTTTCTTCCACCCCAAGGCAATGGCAGAGGAAAATACCAGTTTCCTGGGAAGTTTCCCCAGGGGGTGGATCTGAGCCTGTCCTGTGGTGATCTCTTCAGGGCTGGGACAGCTCTGGGGTCTCTCTGATCCCTCACTGGGGGCTGCCACTGAAGGGACAGGGACAGCCTGAGGGGTTGGTCATTTTTCAGTGATCCCTTCCCTGCAGGCCAGCCAGAGGCACGGGGGCAGCCAGAGGGCTGATGTTCCTGTTCCTTTCCCTTGGCAGATCAAGATAATCCAGAGGGTGTCCCTGCAGCAGGCGGGGGAGCAGGATGTCGTGCAGATCTACCAGTACAAGATCCAGGACCGGAATGTCACCTTCTTCGCCAGGGGGCTGTCGGCTGCAGTGCTGTGAGGCTGTGACAGCGTGCAGTGAGCCTGGCAATGCCAGACCCTGCCTCCAGCCAGCCTGGCAGCTCCACCAGCACCTTGCAGGAGCAGCACAGCAAACTGAGCTGGGAGGAAGGCTCTGACACACCTGGAAGCGGTGCCAGCACAGGGATCAGCCTGCCCAGGGATGCCACATCCCTGTCCTCCCACCCGGTTCCCAACACGCTCAGGCCAAGAAGAGGAGCAGGAACGTGCAGGAATGGCCCTTGGAGCGTGTGAGCACAGGCAGGGGGGATGCCCCGTGGGCTGGGTGTGCCTCACCTTTTCCGGTGCCCTCTGCTCCTGCTGGCAGGCAGCAGCAGACACAGCAGGCGGGGCAGGGATGGGGCAATGCTCTCCTTGTCCCAGCTCTGGCTGGGGGAGAGCTGCTCGATTCCAGCTTCCACAGGGGGTGAATCCACAGCTCCACGTGCAGCCCCTCGCTGCAGTGGGACCTGCATGTTGCCTTGAGTGGCTGATCCCTTGTGCTTCCCGAGCTCATCCTTGGCTTTGGGGCTGGATAAACCCCTGTCTGTGAGGCTCTGTCTCAGCCGCTGCTCCTCCGTCCCAAATCCTGACCAGCACTTACATGACCTGCCTGTACTGAAGCATTTTTTTGGGGATAATAATCCCTAATTTGAATGAGATAAGAGTACAGTGACAAAGTAACCCTGGATTTCCGTGCGGGAACCACTCCCCACCAGCTTCTGGGCAGGGGGCAGGATTGGGCACCTGCCAAGCCTGGATGAAGAGAGGGCTGTGGGTCCCCTCCCTCCCCATGGCTGTGAGGGCAATCCCAGGAATAGAGCTCAGGCCTGGAGGTCTCTCTGCAGATGCTCAGCTGGGATCTCCTGTGGGAGAGAAACAGCCTCCCACATGCTTGTGAGAGACAAGTGACCTGCCAGGTCCTTGCAGCTCCAGAGCTGGGTAACAACTCCAGTGGAACACATTCCTGCATTTTCCGTGGAGACTCAGTGCCCCAGCGTGCTGCAGGCTTGGAATGGTCCCTTTGGCTGGAGTTTGGGAAGCCCTGGCTGACTGACGGCAGTCCAGGGAACTGGGGAGAGCAACAAGGCCCTGCATGTGCTGTAGGATCACACGTGCCGTGGGCCTGTCCGTGCTCCGCCGTGGAAATGGCAGTGCCAGGGCTGCTGCTGCCAGCCCAGCGTGGTGACAGGGCCCAGGGGACAATGCACCACCACAGTCT